CCGCTCTTCAGGCTCACGTTCGCGGACACCAAGTTCGTAGGAAATTCAGAAAGATTCTCTGGACGGTCGGCATACTGGACAAAGCCATTCTGAGATGGCGGAGGAAGCGCGGTGGCCTCCGCCGAGCGAGCGCGCAAACTCAGAACACGGACGACGACGACGTCTTGAAAGCCGGCAGGAAACAAAAGGAGGCACAGTTCCAAAAGGCCGTGACGCGCGTCCAGTCCATGGTTCGCTCGCACGAAGCGCAAGAACAATATCAAAGAATACAGGAAGCTTACCTTCAAGCTGTGGTGAGTAGTCTCTCGTTTTTTCCTAGTTTCCCAGCATTTCGATCGTGGGCTTATAGTCTCCATCTTCATTCGATCTAAAACTTTTGCGTTTGCGCAGGCTGGTGACTCTCAAGCTCGTAACGAGAATGAACGAGACGAGACAATGCTGGGCTGACCGAAAAAACTAACAAGCAGTACTCTTATATCGGATAACTTTGGTTTCCTTCTTTCGCCATTACGTTTTAAGCTTCTTGTTTCTACTAACATTTGAATGCTGTCATTTTTTGCGCGATATATATAAATTCCACACCAAAGTTTTTCCAGACCGTTAGATGAGCGAGATCCGCGGCTGAAACGTTCCACGGCTACATGCCGTCGATATTCTGGACGGGCGGGATCTTTCTAACGGCCATATGATGTTTGAAGTGTAACAAGAAAAAAGAAAAAGAGGGTTTTGAGGAGTCCTATGCCACTAGATTGGGATCCACGCGCGCGCTAATGCGATCGGTCGCTGTTCTAGGTACCTGATCGATCGATCTTGCGTTTCTGGTTTCTGGGAGTAGATTAGGCGATGGGGAGTCATCCGGTAGAGGTAGTAGGGCGCATTCGCGGCCATCCCGACGGCAAGGGCGAGCAATCGTCGGCGCTGAGTGTTCTAGCGGGCGGCAAGTCCGTCCGGCTGCGATGCGATCAGGGATACAGGGATTTTGTGCTGGATGGAGTGTCCGTGGCCGAGGAGGAGAATTTGAGAGCGTTCTACGCGAAATATGTGGAAGCCAGGGTCGATGACGTGAGGGCCGGCGGGCGATGCACGGTGATGATGTATGGGCCGACTGGCGCGGGCAAGAGCCACACGATGTTTGGATCTTCCAAAGAGGCTGGAGTGGCATACCTTGCTCTCCATCAGATCATGAAGAGCAAGCTTCCAGTGCCGCACGGCAATCGCACGAATGTCACGGCCAATGTTCTGGAGATCTACAACGAGGAGGTGTATGATCTTCTCGCCAGTAACTGCGTGGCTAGTCCGGGGCCAAAGTCATTAAAGCCCATTCCAGGCCGGGTAAGTTAGTTCGTCCTACCTAGGCACCATTCTAACTCTTTTCTTTCTTTATTTTTGCTAGGCAAGGCTCGAGGTGCGAGGAGGAAAAGCGAAAAATGCGACATTCATTTCTGGTGAAGATCCCTCCAAGCTTGTGAACGAAATTGCCAACGTCGAGAAGCGTCGAGTTGTGAAAAGCACCAACTGTAACAGTCGAAGTTCTCGGAGCCACTGCATGGTAATCTGATTACTAGCGCGACCTCTGATAGATTAACTTGTCCTAGCAGGTTGTCCTGAATGTTTCTGGAGCGGGTGGGAAGCTGATCTTGGTGGATATGGCCGGCTCTGAGAATTCTGATCAAGCGGGATCCATTGGGTCGGAAGCTAAAATACAGGTACCAATACTATGGAGATTTGAAAGCTGTTGTTAAGTTTAGTTTTCAGACTGGAAAGATAAATCAAGGAAACGGTGCACTAAGACGGGTGGTAGAGTGCATTGCCAACGGAGATCCTTACATTCCTTACCGGGACAGTAAACTCACAATGCTTCTTCAGGTAACTTCTCAGTATGAAAGTTCGAATAGATCTCAAGTACGGTTTATCCAGGATTCGTTTGAAGAGGATGGCGCAAAGATTTTGATGATTTTGTGCGCCAGTCCAGACGGCAGAGATGCCTACAAGACAATCTGCACTTTGGAGTATGGAGCTAAAGCGAAGTGCATCGTTCGACTTCCTTCTTCTCCACCTAAGGACAGAGCGACATTTGCCGACGGCATGGAAGCTGTGTTACTGGCTCGCCTTCGTCATAAGGACGAGTGCATTGAGAGGTTGCGCCAGGAGTATGATCAGAAGGAAAGGGAACGTTTAGAAATTGCTCAGAAACTCATCCAGCGGCAGGAAGATTTGAAGGCACTGACGCTAAGGACCGAGAAGATGGAGGAAGAAAAGGTGAAGAGATTGGCGGAACTGCAAGCTGAAATGGAACGTATGATGAAGGAGAAGGCAGACGAACTGAGAAGAGAAATGGAACTTGAACTGCAACTTCAAGTTCACAAGATTTGTCCTGAAAATGGTCAGTATCGACTTGCTGAGCTGGAGAAGGTAATCCAAGATCAAAGGCAGGAGATTGCAGTGCTGCATTTGAGAGCTGAGCGAGCAGAATCTCAGGTTCAAGAGTTCCTTCAAGCATCGAGTCAGGCGTGGGCTGAGTCCAACGACATAGTGGATATGGATTTATCCAACAGCATTTGCATGTCAAGAGATTTCACGAACGGCAGCACTGCGGATGATCGAGCAGGAGATAGTTCTGTCGTATCGGCAACACCTGCATCAGCAGACAATGAGCGTGGCCGGGAAGATCAATCGGACAAGTATGACACACCGAAAGATGGAGTCAACCGGAACTTGTTTGCTCTGGATAAAGTCCACAGCGAGGTGGAGGTTCCGTGGAGCGAAATCGGGCTTTTCAAAACAGGTTGGCTACCAATCATACCTGAAGAGGCGGATGAAGAGGCTTTGAAACCTGTCGAGACTTCGAGTGGAGATACAGGAGAAGACACGCCGCAACCGTTATGTCCAAGTAACCTTGAGAAGAAGTTCGAATTGCAGTTTGAGGATAAAGGTAAAATTTCAAGCGCAGAAGTAAGTGTTGGGAGGATCGAAGCAGGAGCCGTCTCTCCGGTCGGTACCAAGTCAACAATCGATCATTTCACTTCGCATGAGAGGGTTGCCAGCAGAAAGGCTCGAATCGAGAACATTTTCCTACTTTGTGGCAATCACAGAGAGCTTGCCAAGAGTCCACGACGAGGTGACGCACCATCTTGGGATACTACTTCGGACATCCAGGATGGACATCTTTCTCCATTCCGCCCTCGCGACAGAGATTCATTGAAAGCGGTACTTGACTCTCTTAGCACTCCGGAGGCACTACATGCTGCCGCAACGATTTCCAACGACAATAGTGATACAGAGGTCTACGTCAAATGGGAATCGACAAAGATGGCCGCTGGAAAGCCGATTTGCAGTGTCCACGTTAGCAGCAGCACCAGCCTGGCAGATCTGCGGACTAAGATCGGCCTCCACGTTATCTCTCCATCGGACTTTTCGTTTTCTCTCGGCGTAAGTAAAACATGCGCTCTGCTTTCATGTCTCATATTCTAATGGTGGAGGTTACAGGACTTCGGTGGTGCTCCAATCGACAGAGCGGCAGAAAATGCACTTCTCGTGAGATCGCTACCACTTCATGAAAATAATCCAAACTGGAGGCTGGCGTGCTTGAGAACCTCAGCAACGTCACCAGCGAAATCAAGCCCGAGCAGCCGGTCAACCCCGTTCAAGCCAGTGGAGAACCGCGCGACGTCAACCAGTCCTCCGAGCGCGTCCAGCAACAAGCTTGTGAAAGTCCGCGGAGGGGAAGAGAACATCGCGCCTGTAGCAGACATAGACGTGCTTTCAAGAGGTGCAGTTTTCTTTTGCAAACACTAGACAGATTTCTTGCTAAGTGCCTGCTCTTTATGTTCCAGTTTGTGCGAGGTAGCTGTACAGTGGTGTGTGACAAAAACAAGCTTAAAAGCGTCATTTCCAGGTAGCTCTAATCGATATTACGAGTCCACAGATCTCCGTTAGCGCGCGTTTTTTGAGCACTTAATAAGGCAAAATAGAAAAATACTGATTGTGGTCTTCCAAACGCTACGCTAGAACAGATTATTTCTTGCAACTAACTGCTGCCTCTTTTTGTGTTACATGTACAAAAACTTGCGAGTATTCCTGTACACAGACTAAAAGTCAAGCTAAAACGTCCTCCCCAGGTAGTGTTTGATAGTACGGGTCTGCTGAATCCTTGAGGTTCCTCGTTTTGTACAGGGACAATAGGAAGAAAGCGGCAGCCATCGCCAGAAAAGAGCTGCCCAGTATATAATATTGCGTGAAAATTGTTGGCGCAACCATCACCTTCGAAAGGAAAGAATCGAAGGTTAGTAAAAAACCAAAGACACAATAGTTTTTTTGGCTTACAATGACAAACTGGAAAACAGATTGGAGAATGCGACCAGCGAGCGTGTTGAGGCTGAAGAGAAGAACGTACTCCTTGTTCGCCAGAAATCTCGCGCACTGGACGTGAACGATGCAGACGAGAATCCTGTTAATCCCCACGATGACAATGAACCCAGGATACGCGACCCAAAGAGTAGCGGTATACGGCATTGATAGGAGAAGAACTCCAATCAGCACGGAACCAGCGGTGTAGTAGGCAATGCCGGCGTCCCTGGCAACGAGCACCGAAAGTGGAATGGCGCACAATGCGGCTATGAAGTTTGTGATCTCAGTGGCCGCCATGACGTGACCGCTGTAGATGGAGGTAGAGTCGATCGCTTCAAACAGGTTGAGCATGTATGTGGAAGCCATGGCGTATCCCGCGACATCAAAAGCCCACCTGGTAAGGAAAAAAAAATCAGACATCTTTTAGTCCTAACGTTTTGGTGGTTTTCAGATGATAGTGACGATCAAACAAGTAGCAGTACGTACCAAATTGACAGAAGTTGCACGAATGGATTTTCCCAGGTCTCCCTGACGACGGTCGCAAGTCCCTGATGATCGCAAGCAAGCAGAGAGAATTGGAAGCTTTTCTTCTCGAGAAAGTAGCTCGAATCAAACCTTGAGGCGACAGATCGATAGTAGCTCCAGAATTGGTGGCCTTTTGGATTTCCTGGGCGCTGCTGGGCAGTCTGAGCACTGAGAGCTCTGCGGGTCTCTGGGCAGGACGAGGCAAATCAACACGGAGAGAGCAACCTGGTCAATGGTAAAACTTATGAAAGTTCTGATTTTTAAGAGACTTCGCTCACCATTGACATGGATATGTAGAGAAGCACGTCAATGGAGATCCCCTCGTGAATCAACGCTTGGCCTGGAACAATCAGTTAAGTCTTTTGATTTCTCGAATTTGGTTTTCTCACCGAGCTCGGAAGCACCAAAGTGCGCGATACTCGACGCTGCTTCCGTGCTGCTGGTCTGGATTCACTGAGACGGCATTAGAGACGGCAGAAAGAATTTCATTCACGTCGAGCAAAGCGCACCATAATCTGGAACTTGTTCTCGGGCACAAGCAAGAACAAGTATGCCGGGAAGACAACTTCGATGCCAGCAGCCATTGATCGAAAGAGCTGCAACAAAATTCACAGGGCAGGCATTAATACACTCGCCAAGTTTTTGCCTGGGAACAGAAGCAAAACCTGCATCAACTGTAGCCAAAGAATCGAATCTCCCCATAGCAGCAGCGAGTACTCCACAAAGACCGCTAGAGAAGCTGGGGAGCGAGAAGAAGGCGTAAGAATCAAGCAGGAAACAAGAAAATTCTCACCAAGCATGAGAGTGCCATGATACGAGAACAAGGAACAGGCCGGAGCCGCGAGGAAGATGAAGAGAGATCGCGAATACACTCCCACTGGCAGGATCCTGGTGCTTATCTGCACAAGAAACAGGGGTGCTAGTGCTATAAGATCGATCGATTCTCTCGGAGCTACAAGGAAAAAAACAAAAGCTCTACTACGAGGAAAGGGACGGACAGGGACGAGCGAGAGGGGAGATTTTTTTTTAAGCGTTAAAAGCAACCTCTTGATTGGTGATCCCTTTGTTGTGGATCATGTAACGAACTTCGTAGGGGATGACTGGAGCGAAGCGCTGCGCGAATCGGTAGGCGCTGGGCAGAAGAACCGCGAGGGCGATTGGCAATCTGGCTGTTGCTGCTCGTCCTCCGTTTGGCGATGCGAGGGCCATGTCTTCTTCGTCGACCATGGCGCGACGCGACGCGATGGGAAAGAAAAATCGAGGAAATGTGGGCGCGCTACTAAATTTACTAACAAGCAAAGGTCTTAAATATTTGGTCCACGGCGGGGATTCTCAACTATAGTCCGACGTGGCCACTACGGTACCGAGGTGGCGGTCCCGAGCCGCCTTTTCCCTTCATATCATCGGGACGATTCCGTAGGTTCGCGGATGAAAAGCCGGGAATATGTCATGTCCATGTGGCACGTGCCCGGCACACGCCACCATGCGCTGCCGTGTGCCAACGTGGCGCCAAAATGGAAAGTTTGGATTGGTGAAGGAACGGTTGGAATCGCCTTAGTTTAGATTTCTGAAGAAGTTTTTTCCTTGTGTGGGAGAGATGGCAATCGATCAAGGGACGCAAGAGGTGGTGACAGCGTGGCCACAATGACCACAACTTGAGGTTGGGTGACCATTAACACTTATGCTTGGTTATTTTAGAATATTTTTAATTGATAAACATGTTTATAATTCATAAACTTTCCTAAACACTTTCTAGTATATTCTAGTATATTTTACCATTTAATGGTTTATATACAATAAGATTAGTTTTGTGTTATAAATTAGATTTTTTAAAAAACTTTTTATAATTTATACTCCAAAACTATAAAGTAGAATTAGACTGAAATCTTGATTACTATAATCATGCAATCTAATTACATAAAAATACATAATTACATAGTTATAAAAATTATTTATTATAGAAATCAGTAATCAAATATAAATTAGACCTTTTACCAAACTTTATTTTAAAATATAATCATTTTTCCTCCCACGGTTAAACTATAAATATTTTTTTTAAAAGCTTTAAAATATGTGTAGAAGTTTACTGCATTTACTTATCATCATCATAGGAATTTAAAATATACTTTATTTATTAAATAATTATAATTAGATTGTATTAAAATTATAGATATAAATTACACTTGAAGAGAAATAAAAAATTTATACATAAACAATAATACATCAAATTTTGTATATAAACTAAAATGAACAAACAAGTTTTTACATTAAATTTTAAGTAAAAAAAATTTAATCTTATCTGAAATATTCAAGACAAAAGAAACTTAAAAATAAAATTTTTACAAGGAAAATAAATAAAATCAATAATTAACTAAAATAAACCTTTCAAAACATGTAATTTAGTTAAAATTAAATAAAAATAATAATATAATTTTAAAGTTAATATTAATTTTTAATATATTTTATAATAAATCCTATTTGTATAGTGTGTAAAGGGCTTTTACAATTCATAAATTTCAATAAAGATGTCAAAAAATCTTGATTTCTATGTTAAAATTGTAGTTAAAGTGATCAAATTAACCATAGGTTATTGGCTACTAGGTGATCCGTTACTTCAATGAAAAATAACATCATTATTAAATATTAATTAATTAGGGGTTTATGTGTTACATTATACTTATTTATGCATATAGATTTAAAATTTAAATTTGGTCGTATGGCCATAAATTTACATTTAAAAAAATCCACCAAAATTTTATCATTTATCATCATGCTACAAAAGAATGTTTTTTATACTAAAATAATTTTTAAAATATGTAATCTATATAATTTTAAAATATAAAAATTTAAAATAAAAAACCTTTCAAGTTTTATATTATGTTTAAATTTCTTTCTTCCACTTATCAATTAGTTAAATTTTACAATTTATTAAAAAAAAAGTTAAAATTTTATTTTAATACTTGACTTATAATGGTGTTAATTTAAATAGAACATACTCATTAAATTCTCAAGCCCTTTCAACAAACGTGAGCGTTAAGTGATTGATTGTGCCGAACCAGTAAACCCTAAACTCTAAACCTAGTTGGATTGTTTAGTATTAGTAATAATTCAGTTGATAAATTATATTTTAATTAAAGAATTGAACTTTTTTTGTTTAAAACAAATTTTATATGAAGTTGGAGAAATATTTAAGCATAAAGATAAACCACTTTAAAATAAATATTATTATATTATATTTATTGTATATATATACATTGGATATATGTCAAAATAAAATTTAGTAAGAGTTCCAAAAACTTACTTAAATAGTGATTTTTCTATTATACTTCACAAAAAACTTTCTAAGATGCAACTACTTTTTTTTGTATAATAAATTTGTTTTTATAGTATTTATATTGTAAGTGATTATAATCCAATTGTACTCTTTTATACTTTGGAGTGTTAGAGTATAAGTTTCATTTACAAAATATGTACATGATTGTGTTTATATAAAAAAAATTATATAATTTTTTCATTATATTAAAGAATAAACTAAGAAGTGTTTAGGGGAGTTTATATGAGTTATAAAAATGTTTAAAAATTATAAATACAAAATTAATTTAAATACATAACAACTGAAAAATGAGAGATATGTAAAATTCTTTATATCCATTGCAGAATTATGAGAAAATAGAGTATGTAGTCAAAATACCATGCTAAAGGCAAATCTCATAATAAGTATTTAGAGCTACAATATAAAGATGGTGTGAGTGCAAGGGAATTTACCTTGCAGTTTTTGGAATTTAGATATGTAAGGCCCAATCCTTGCATCCACACTCGTTTGTAGAAGACCTCACCAAAGTAAATTCAGCTGTACACTTGGAACTGTGTCTCTTTGGTCTAAATGAATCAAACCGATAATGCAATGAAACTTATCTAGAGATACATACGTATCCATTATTATATATATACGTGGCGGAAGTAATCAAATTGTGACCCACAAGTGTCAGTCAGGAGTTTGCTTCTAAAGTCCCCGGTAGGTCTTTTTTTTGTTATTCCTCGTTTTTGTGCTCCATTCGTCTCAATGGAAGATAGACAGGCCGCGGCTTTGCGCAGGTTACAGGTGCTCTCGCCGGGATTCCTCCCCGACGTTGGTCTGTCGGGTGGAAGTCTGAGACAAGCTCCCTGCTCTTCCTCTCCATCCAAGCAGGAAGATAGCAGCGATCTTGTCTCCGTGCCGCCGCATTTGTTTCGGGACGCTCCAGTCTCGTCAAGAAGTCAGGTAAGCTGCCGAGAGGCACAAAGAACAACTTGAAAAGCCTGTGGATCGATCTGTGTAGTATGAATCACTTTACTCCCAATCCCTGGGAGATCCCGACGGGTTTTGGGGAGGAGAAGCGAAGTGTTTGTTTTGGAAGAATCCATGGGACGCTGACCGTCCCGTCTGTGCTTACAACTTCGACAAACGCAAAGGGCCCATCTTTGTGGAGGTATTGCGGGACTCTTTTCTCTTTTCGTTTCTCTGCGGCCTTAGTGCTGATGAAATGCAGTGGTTCCGAGGAGGCTATACGAATGTTTGCTACAACGCCATCGATCGACACGTTGACTCTGGAAGAGGAAACCAGGTCGCTGTTTTGTGGGAGGGAAACGATCCCAGATTCAATGCCCGCATCACTTACAGTGAATTGCTTAGATACGTTTGTCAGGTTCGCGAAAAGATTTGTGTTTTTTCACTCTTGCTCGATGATTTTTTTTTTCTACCAGGTTGCAAACTTGCTGCGCTCGCGAGGAGTAAAGAAAGGTGACCGGGTCTGCATTTATATGCCCATGATCTTGGAACTTCCCGTGGCGATGCTCGCCTGTGCTCGCATTGGTGCTATTCATTCCGTAAGTCACAGGTGTTGTCCTTCTTGTTTGTTCTGTCCTTGTCTTTTCATATGGATCGTCAAAAAAATGCTTGCTTTCTCCTGCTTCAGGTTGTCTTTGCTGGATTCTCCGCCGAGGCGCTTTCAGGCCGAATCCTTGACTGCCAGTCGCAAGTAGTGCTAACTTGCTCGGCGGTTCGAAGAGGAGACAAGATGCTCCTACTCAAGGAAATAGTGGACGAAGCTTTGCAGCTGTGCTCGCAAAGATCAGGATTCTCCGTTGGTACGTTGATCCTTTCTCTTTCGATTACAAAAGCGAAACGTCCTGTTCTACAGAGACGTGCGTAGTCTATGATAACGAGACTGCAGTACCGCGCAAGAATGTAGCTTGGCAAGCTCGAGACATTTGGTGGCAGGTACTAAAAACCACCATCGTTTTTTAAGAAAACTTCTCCCTCGAATCCAAACAGGACGCGGTGAGGGAGTGTAGCACAAGTGCAGAAGTAGAATGGATGGAATCAGAGGAGCCATTGTTTATGCTCTACACAAGTGGTTCTACAGGAAAGCCAAAGGTAAGAAAGTGTGTGATTTTTCTTTTCTCACACCATTCTAAATGCCTCGAAACAAAACCAGGGTGTTCTTCACACTGTTGGAGGCTATATGGTGTACGCTTCCACGACTTTCAAGTACTGCTTTGCTCCGCGCAAGGAAGATATTTTCTGGTGATTTTTCTCGTCATGGTTCCACCAGCGCGACAACTCCTCTAAGAACTTCTTCGCAGGTGTACTGCCGACTGTGGATGGATAACGGGCCACACATACGTCGTGTATGGGCCCTTGCTGAATGGTACAACCTCTCTAGTCTACGAAGGGGTATTTAGTCCTTGCTTTCTCTTTTAGACTTTTTTCTCAACCTTTTTCTTTTTTTCCTGTGATTCAAGGTCCCGGCCTGGCCTCATCCGGGTCGCTGCTGGGAAATAGTAGACAAGTACAAAGTCACCGCATTCTATACCGCACCGACGCTCATTCGATCCTTGCAGGCGTACGATAAAGAGGTAAAGCACTTGCATCTCACCTATTAGTGATTCCTGACTTTGCGTCTCGTGTCAGCATGTCAAGAAATTCTCGCGGTCCAGCCTTCGGCTGCTAGCCACGGCCGGAGAGCCAATCAATCCAAAAGCTTGGAACTGGTACTTCGACGTGGTTGGCGATAGAAGATGTCCGATCTTAGATACATGGTGGCAAACGGAGACCGGCGGAGTTATGCTCACGCCTCTACCCGGTGCGTGGCCTTTGAAACCAGGATCGGCAACTCTTCCTTTCTTTGGAGTGGAGGTAAAGTTCTTCGAGTAGTGTGATCTTCGAGCTAAAATACTAAGTTTCTTGTTTCTGTTCTTCCTTGATGCAGCCAGTAGTTTTGGATCAACAAGGCAAGGAGCTGAAGGGCCCTTGCGAGGGCTACCTGTGTATACGGCATCCCTGGCCAGGAATCGCCCGGACGATTTACGGTGACCACAAGAGATACGAAGAGACGTACTTTAGCACCTGGCTGAGTTACTACAACACCGGAGACGGGTGCCGGCGTGATGAAAATGGCTACATTACTATCACGGGACGCGTCGATGATGTTATCAATGTCAGGTAATCGGATTCTACGCGAGAGCTTTCGCTAAGATATGTATGTGATGTTTTTTTTGTTCGGATTTCTATCAGTGGTCACAGAATAAGTACCTCAGAGGTGGAAGCTGCTCTGGCTTCTCATCCCGGATGTGCTGAAGTTGCTGTGGTGGGATTTCCACACGAGGTGAGATGCCACGGCAATCGAGCGAGAATTGTTTATCAGATTGCTTTTGTTGCAGGTGAAGGGAGAGGGAATCTACGCCTATATCATCCAGATGGACGGGCATACAGACAGAGGGGAGCTGATCAAGGCCTTGAAAGTTCTAGCCAGAAAAGAGGTATACTTTTTAGTCTACTCTGATGAAAGTTTCGATTTTGTCCTTCCGTTGCTCTGTAGATTGGAGGATTTGCTGTTCCGGACGTGCTACATTTCGTTCCGGGACTCCCCAAGACGCGAAGTGGGAAAGTCATGCGAAACATTCTTCGTAAAATCGCCTCGAACAGAACTGACCTGGTATGTAAACAATGCATTGAGGTAGATCATATGAGTTTTCGTTCGTTTTTGCCGCAGGGCGACACAAGTACGCTGGCCGACCCGGCTGTAGTTTCAAAGATCATTAGCTCCAAGATGTAAAACAAAGAACACCAATGTAAAGTGATACCATTTTCCATCCATTTGTTTGTGATAAGGAACTTATCTTCGCCAAAACAGGATTTTGAAGCGTCGTAGGGCTCTTGCACAGTGGAACGAGGTAAAACTCCGAACTTCTTCTCGCAATGCTCCAATCTTCGCGGTCCCAGCCATGGATTTAGCTGTGGCGCCATCGACAAACTCGAAACCCAGCGAGCTTCCACAGTCACGAGAAAAGAAAACAACAGTGGCAGGAAAATCCATCTCCAGTTTCCTAGTAGCACTCAGGGAATGCTCCAATGCGAGGGACTTGAGAAGTGGAAAAAATCTCCATGTCGAGGCGATCAACAAAGGCTGGAGCTCGACCACTTACGTATCAAACAGCCTTGTCAACATGTACGCAAAGTGTGGAAGCTTGGCCGATGCTCGCGAGGTGTTCGACAAGATGCAAACTCGCAGTGTGGTCTCTTGGAACTCCCTGGTGCTGGGATACGTCGACAATGGCGAGCCAAGAGTGGCGCTGGAGCTCTTTGAAAAGATGCTAGCGGGGAGGAGATGCGAGCCAAGCGCACTGACTTTCATGGCGGCGCTCAAAGCTTGCGCGGCTATGGCGGCCAGCGAGCACAGCCACAGGGTGGAAGGGAAGTCTCTCAAGCTTCGGTGCTTGGAGATTGGCATGGTGGTGTACTCTCGAGCCGCCATGGCCGGTTTCGACACAGACATCCTCGTCGCCACCACGCTCGTCAACATGTTTGCAAAGTGTGGGAGCTTGGACGACGCTCGGAGGATCTTCGACGCCATGCCGAACCACAGCGTCGTCTCCTGGAACGCCATGCTGCTTGGCTGCGTCGAGAATGGTCGCGCGAAGCTGGCGCTTGATTTGTTCTCCAGGATGCTGCAAACCAAGACTCTCGCGAACTCGAGGACTTTCGTCGCCGCTTTCAAGGCTTGTGCTGCTCTAGCCGACGAAGAACAGGGCCGGGAACTCGATGATCGCAGTGGGAAGATACTCAAGCTAAAGTCGCTGGAGACAGCCATGGCGCTCCACCTGCTCGCCGCAAGCTCCCGCGCCTGCGACCTCTCCGCCAACTTGTTCGTGGTGAGCGGCTTGGTCGACATGTACGCGAAGTCTGGCTGCATGGATCTCGCGCGCCGCCAGTTCGATGCCTTCCAAGCTCGTCACGACGTGGTGTCAACCACGGCCTTGCTACTGGGATACGCCGAGAACGGCGAGGAGGAGAGAGCGCTGGATCTCTTCTCCAAACTCCCGGGAGACGTGGAGCCAGGCACGCCAACTTTCGTGGCGGCGATCAAGGCGTGTACCGGCATGGCGGCGAGGGAGGAGCCCCGGCAGCTCGGCAAGCTCGCGATCAAAGCTCGGTCTCTCGAAACCGGCATGGCGATCCATGCTCGACTGATCGCCTCGCGGTTGCTCGATCTGGACAAGTTCGCGGCGAGCAGCCTCGTGGACATGTACGCGAAGTGTGGCAGCGCGCTCGACTCAGGGCGCGCTTTCGCCGCGATCGAGCTTCCGGACACCGTCGCGTGGAACGCGCTCATCCTCAGCTACGCGGACACCGGCGAGGAATCCCTGGCGCTCGAATCCCTCGCGCGGATGGAGCTCGCCGCCGCGGATCGCTGCTCGTGCCGCCCGGATTCCAGGACCTACGCCGCCGCGCTCAAGGCCTGCGGCAATCTGGCCTCGCTCGCGCAATGCCGGAGGATCCACTCGGCGCTTCTCCGGCGCGGCTTTCGCGAAGAACACGACGAGGTCCTCGCGAATTGCCTGGTGGACGTGTACGGCAGGTGTGGCGGCATGAGCGACGCGCGCCGGGTGTTTGACTCTATGCCCGCCGCCGGTCTGGTGACGTGGAACACGCTCCTGGCTGGCTACGGCCGACAGGGGGACACCGACATGGTGTTCCGGAGCTTGCGGAGCATGTCGCGCGAGGGCGGGCACGCCGACACGGTGACGCTCACGTCGCTCCTGGCGGCGTGCAGCCACGCGGGGCTGGTGGGCAAGGCTCGCCAGATCTTTGGAGCGATCGCGACTGGCGGGGGAAACCATGATGGAGTGTTTAGCAGGATCTCTCCGGAGATCGGGCACTACCACGCGATGATCGACATGCTGGGCAGGGCGAACGAGCTCGAGGAGGCGGCGGCGATGGTGGCGGCGATGCCATTCCAGCCCAGCGCCGTGACGTGGATGATCCTGCTCAACGCGTGCGCGAAGTGGCGGAACGTCACGGTGGGGCGGCGGGCGTTTGAGTCGCTGGTACCGCTCGGTGGCGCCGCCGCCGCCGCCGCCGCGCACGTGCTAATGTCCAACATCTACGAGAGCGAGCCTCCTCTTGACACGTGGCAGCCCCAGCAGCTGCCAAGTGTTCTAGGGGTTAGTCGGACGTGGCCTTTAAATATCTGCCACGTCATGGACACTTTGCCCTAAAAGCTCTGATTCGTTTGCTGCCACCATATCGCCCCAGGGAGCACTAGCAAAAGGGACAACTCGTACCCATTCGGATTGTCACTTCACCGTCTCTTAAATCTCTGCTCTCTTTTTCTCCCCTCTCTCTATCTCTCTCTCTCTCCTCCAGATCAACTTGCACTTCATCTTTGGTTTCTACTCTATGATCATTTTTGTGTGTGGGCGAAGATCTTTGGTGCCGAAAGAGACAACGGGACCCCGCCTCTCGCCCCAGCGCATTTCCACGCGAGTCGATTACCTGGGCACCACACGTTGTTGAAATCGACCATTTGTATGTAAGTCCTCCATGCTACGCGGAATCGGTCTTGAGGCGAACGCAGCCCACATTTTACAATGCAGTTGAGGATAACGGGAAATCAACTCCACACCTTTTCTAGAGCCCTGGTTTTTGCAAGAAAGATCCAAGTTTTTGACGATGAAAAACACGGAAACTGCGTGACTTTAAGTTTTTCAATCGCATTGTATCACCGCAAGACTATAAATAGCATATAGATAGATCGATAAATAGTATATCGTGGTTACATTCATTCAATCATTTGAAGTGCTCGCGTACACCCAAACCCTTCGCACTAGTACTGCCCGACGATCTTTGCTGCGCCTATAATTCTCTATACTTCTATATATTTCTTTTCTTTTTTGTGGGCTATAGAATTTCACACATTGTTGCTATACTATTCTACTCCTTGTATCAGATCTTCCATACAAGGGATAATCCGAAAAGAGATAACAATTCCTTGGAGAAGATTCAATGAAACTATATTAAAGTTTTGAGACCAATCTTTGTTCGTCATTGTCGTCATCTCGGCTATATCATGGCTGGAAGAACGCATACATATAACCAGAGGAAAAACACGGAAACAGAAATTCGAAGTAAAGAACGAGGAAAGGAAAAAAGAAAAAACGCAAGAGAGACAAACTTCCGCTAGAGCCTGGCTAAAGATCGCCGAGAAATCGGTGATTGATTTTTATCAATCCAACTCGGAATCCATGTCGATGGTGCTGCCGGTGCTGGCGGTGGTGGACAGGAAAGTGGTGGTGGCGGAGGAGTCGCCGCTGGGGCTGGATTCCAGCGGCGGCGATGGCTCCTCCTCAGTCTCGGCCTCCTCTAGCTCCTGATCGGTCTCGCCGCCCAATTCGTCGTCCGAATCGTGGCGGAGCATTTGGAGGACGAGCCTCCCCTGGCTGCGGATGGGCTGGAAGAGCATGAGCTGCGCGCCGTGCGCCGCCTTGATCTCGTGGAGCACCACGCGATTGTTGCTGCGATTGGCCGAGAGGAGCGTCCACGGCACCTGGAGCGGCAGATGGTTGTAGCTCGTGCGCGCCAGCGATGGCATCGGCGGCGGGAATTCCCCCTTTCTGAAGCGGTGGGGGTGCTGATCGTCCTCCGCGCTGCTCTTCTCCATTTGGGGCAGCTGGATCACCGAATCGACCATCACGGGACCTCTCATTCTTGCCTCCTTTTCTTTTTCTCCTCCCTCGCTAGCTGGATCGATCAGACGATCCGGGCGCGCGGCGCGACTGGATTGGATTTCAATCGGTTAAAAAACAGAGGAAGATAGAGGAGCGCCAGGCCAGAGGGGATCCCAGAATCGATCCAATCGCGCAAAGGGAATCCAATCCAATAGACTGGGAACTGTGATGGGCGCTACTACTGCATTGATCGCTCACGCTCTTGGGTGAAAGACACAGGAAGAAAACTAAGTGGACTACCTAGTAGCATATGACTGGTGGTATATATAGGAATATCCCCCCGGCGGCTAGGGCTTTGCTTTCACTCTCCCTATAATTCAAACCAAGAGAATCAGTGTCAGGGCCAAAACTAGCATGCTTCATGACAACACGAAACCATGTATCATAGCCTAATTCTTCTAACGGATTTTCCCACCGCCACCGCACCACCCAAAACAAAATTTTCTCTTTTTCTCCAGAGAACAAGTGGGATATCCCTTGCATCTTCCATGGACCAATCACATTTACAGGCACACGCCCGTTTCGTTTGGCGGAGCCGAGCCGAGTCTACGCTTTCTCTTCTCTCGTTTTTTGTGGTTTTGGAGTTTTCCATTCATCAAAGTTCGTTTGGAAGTACACACGTCCACAAACAAAAGTTTATGTGTGCACGCTTTGCGGCAGTAGGAAACAACTAGAAAAAGGAGAAGATACTCCTCGTTTGCTGGAATTTTCTCACCGGTGATCACTCTCGGTTTCTTGCGAAGATCGTATCGTCTCGTCTCGGTCGATCGGTGGCACAAACTCGCATCATGGAAATTAATGGCGAGGAAATCGGGCAATGCAGCAAATGCCCAGTGCTGGGATTTCTTTCGAAGATGACGTGGCGGCAATGTTGCCCGGGCCAGCCGGCAATATGACGTGGCGGCATCGGATTTGTCTTGTTTTCCACGGCACAACTTATGAGTACATTCCCGTGGCTGGAAAAGCTTGGGCCATCGCTGGGCGTCCACGTGGCATCTGGCGTGGAACGCATCCAGAGAGGATAAAAAGTCCCCACTTCTCTCTTTTACTTTTCATTTTTTCTGGTGGTTTGTTTGTCCACTGGCTAGAGAAAACTGTTACTCCATAGCCATTGGACCAGTGACGCTTTCACGCTTTTAGAGATAGATAGCCCATTTGCGAATGTACCACCTCTGAAGATTAGGGCTCCAGCTTTTGGAGGGCTTCCGTTCTACTCATCGAACAGGATCTCGCCAACCGCGTTGTCTGCATTGGCCAGCCAGTTTTAGGGCCCCAGTACCTTTGAAATCTCCGCATTTAAAGGCTCAACGTTGATGTGGTGTCAATCACACAAGCGCCCAGCATTATCATCTCACGCAATCTCTCCTGAAACTCGGGCAAATCGAAATAACAAAAAGAGGACAGCCACTCCAATTTTCACTTGGCTTTTCACTTAAAAGGCATGGAAGTGATATCAAAATCTCCCAAGGCTGTTGCGGCGAGATCATGTCCTCCCAGAAACTTTGCTAGTTGCCGGCACGATTCCACAAAATGATACAGGACGATACCTGGAAACTGGTGTCTCGAATGAAAGCCACCACTTTCCCCGGGAGTACCATTGCAACTTGGGGGACTCCTATCCGTCCGTGCAATCCAACGGCTGTTATTCAAACAAAAGTATATTCTCCGGCACCGAGAATATACCCCCTCCCGGCAAATTCTTTTAAACTAAAAGTCAACACTTTTCTAGGTAATGGACTTGTTCTTCCATGGCATACAAATGCCGCCGCCGCCACTGGCCACTGCTTGATCTCATCGCGATCGCTTTATTCTGCCATGGAGCAAAATCCGAAATGTCTTCCCCGCGGCAGGAAGATCGGTGCTCCACCGATGGTTTGCTCCGAGAATTCGAGCACTGCGTGGCCTTGGGAGCGCAGGGTGCGTTCCTGGCGTGGAATTTCTTCGCCCAAAACCAGAGCTTGGATCTGGCGTTCTCGGGTGAGTCCCCGGGCTGGGCTGGATGGGGCTACAATCCAACCGGGGACAACATGATCGGCAGCAGCGCTCTCATCGCCTTTGGAAACGCCACTGGAGCTCACCTCCATCTCTACAGCATCACCAGCGAGACCTACACGTACCGCTCGCTTCATCCCTCCGCCTCCAATTCCACCCCGGATCTCCAGCTCGCGAGAACAAACTGGATCAAAATCTCTGGAGCGAGCATCCAGTTCTCCGCCAGGATCAAGTTCCGCTCCAATTCCTCCAGGATCTTCCACATCTGGACGCGAGGAACAGGAGTCAACGGCGATTCACCGCTGCCGCACAGTGTCACCCGATCGAGCGAACTGCGAGGGCGAGGGACGCTCGATCTCGCCAATGGAACTGGCGTCCTTGGCAAGGCTCCAAGCCTGGCGCTTAAGATCACACACGGATTGCTCTGCGCCTCCTCGTGGGGATTCCTTTTGCCGCTGGGAGCGATCGCGGCGCGATACCTCCGGCGATTCGATCCGGCCTGGTTCTATGCCCACGAATGCTGCCAGGGGCTAGGGTTCTTGCTGGGCACCGCCGGCTATGGCATCGGCCTGAGCCTGGGAGCCAAATCTACGGGGATCGAGTACACCACTCACCGCAGGATCGGCATCACCGTCTTCACCTTGGGATCACTCCAAGCGATCGCGTTCTTCCTCCGCGCCAAGAAGGATCACAAGCTCCGCTGGCTGTGGAGCCTGTACCACCGAACCGTGGGCTACACCGTTATCGCCCTGTCGATCGCCAACGTCTTCGAGGGATTAGACATCTTCTCACCGGAGAGAGCGTGGAGAAGAGCCTACATTGGCGTGATCGCTGGGCTGGCCTCCATGGCCGCCCTCCTGGAAATCGCAAGAACTCTAAAACCCCAGCTATTTGGCTGATGGTTAACCAAGGGGAAAAATAGCTTAAAGGAAAACCACTCCTTGTTTTGATTAAATTATTCTGCGAATGTTACATGGTATATGTGTTTAACTAAGGGGGGAATATAACTTATTTATACACCGTCGGATGCGATCAAAACCCACACGAGGTGAAGATCTCATCGTTGGTGTGAAAGTAACAATTGTTTACGTTGGGCTGGCACCTTGCTACCCAGCTACACACGCAGCTTAACCGGCCTCCGGTGGCACACTCCACGTAGGGTCCGTGCGAGCACGTCGGAGGCGTGGAGCACACTGCTTTTATTCCAATTTACACCAAGGCTCTAGTAGCTAGTCAATGAGCGTGGACTAAGAAGGAAGACGACGACGAAGACTAGGTTATAAGAGAGTGGGCTGACCGCGAATCTAGTACGTACCATCCGTTGCTTGGAGCAGGCGACGGTTGTGATATGCGCTGACCGGCGTGGCGGCGCCGCCGTTGACCTTTTCTTCTCCCATGGTGTAGGAGGTGGTGGGCGCCTGGGCCTCGAAGGAGGCGCTGGGCGAGATCTGCTGCTCATGGTACGCGGCCACTGGGGAGATTTGATCGAGATGGAGGGAGGAGACCGGCACCTGGGCGAGGAGGTCCTCGCTCAATCGGCGATCCATCTTGAGCGACGCGGTCGGGGCGAGCTGATCGGGGTGGTGATCCATTCCCACGCTCGCGGCGGGGGCCTGCGATCGATCGAAGTACATGTTCTCGAAGGACGCGGTGGGAGTGATGCTCTCCCTGGGGATGTGGTTGATCCCGCGGGATGCGACCGGAGCTTGGGCGGCGATGAAGTTCCTGCGCTCCTCGCGGGTCATCCCCATCATGGTGTCGAGCTCGCGATCGAGATTGGCGAGGGAGACGGTGGCCGGCTTGAGCGACGCGGTGGGAGCTTGCGAGATCTCCTCGATGTTCATCCGGCCTCTGTTCATGCCAAAGGAGGAGGTTGGTGCCTGGGACTCCCTCTCCATCGCCACAGGGACTTGCGCCGCCGCCTCCCAGTTCTCCATTCCAAATATCCTGGAGGCTGTGGGAGCTTGCGCCGCTGCCTCCCACTTCTCCATTCCAAAGTTCTTGGAGGCGGTGGGAGCTTGCGCCTCGCGGTAGAAGGCGGCGGTCGGCACTTGGGCTCTCTCGCGGATGGAATCATAGCCGAAGGACGCAGCGGGGGCTACTTGCTCTGGCTCGTACGAGGCCACTGGAGCTTGATCCAAGTTAGACAATGCCTCTGGAATTCACACACGATCAGCACAGTTCTTTCTCTTCTCCATCGAGGAGCAATCCGATCGAAGGGGCAGCTTACCCGAGAACCGCATCACCAGAGCAATGCTCAAGAGAGCAAAGACCAGCTTGGAGCTCCTCATCTTTGCTTCTCCAAAAAGAGCGAGTGATCGGTCGATCGACTAGGAAGAGTCCGAGAGCCTACATTTTGCCTCCTAGCCCGCTGGATTTTATACCCGCGGCAAGGGTGGCCAATTGTGCCTTTGTTTTTTACCTCGCAAGGCATGCTTCATGCCTTCCCAAGTGGAGAGGTTCATAAGGAACTGGCTAGTGCCATCCTGGCCTGACGCGTGGCACGTGAGAACAAATCACAGCCATACAATGCGGACCATGTGTAAAGGCCCTAAAACCCTCGTGATTTTAGGGCTCCTTCCTCCTGTGATGGAGGAGGAGCGCGGGGGAAGCGATGGCGGCTTGCGCGGCAGCGCTGTGGCATTGATGTGCGTCTACGCGTTTTGTCTCCAGTTCACGCCGTCGGAGCCATACCTGGTGCCATTTCTCACCAAGGTGAAGGGATTCAGCAATAATGTGGTAAGAATTAGCTTAATCAGCTAGAGTGTGGCTCTGGGAATTCGATCGCTCACGAGGATTGAGCCACACTCGCAGGTCACCACCGAGATTTTTCCAGTGTCGGTGTACTCTACGCTGGTCTTTACGCTTCTAGCCGCGCCTGCGTGTACTTATCTCAAGTATCGCTCGGTCATTTTGATTGGTACGTGAGTGAGTGTTTCGTTTTGATGATTCACAGTGCTCGGTTCTTCCAGGTACTTTAGGTCGTTTGTCGACGTTTTTTATCCTTCTTTTCGGAAGATCATTGCTCTCAATGCAGCTTATGCAGGTTTGTGACAACCTCAGAGAATTTTGAGTTTTAGTTCTGATGTGTTTCCTTGTTTTTCTTTCTAGGCTACGTATGCGTTGGGAGTCGCCAGCGATCTCGTTTTTTCTTCCTACCTTTTTGTTCTCGTCAAGGAGAACATGTATCAGTCGCTGGTACGTGCGCACAATTTTGAGAAAAGTTCTTAGTTTCTTTTGGGAACTACAGACTAGTTTCACTCAGGCCTCATCCACATTTTCTTTTTTCATTGCTGCTGAGCTAAGTAGGTCCGGTCAGTGGGATCTCTAGGAACTGACTGGTTATATTTCCTTTCCTTTTCTCAGGTCAGCTCCTCGTTTCGGAGGGGGTTAACTTGATCGTTCTACTGTACATTTCAACGTGCATGGTATCCATGGATAGAAATGTTCTCGGAAGATTGTGCTGACGATTTGCATCTGTGCTAGGTTGCACTTGCGTTGGTAGCATGCGTTTTTCTTCCGGTGGAAATGCGACACTGGATCGATGTATCTAGCTTGGGAGACTTGGAACTGGACTGGGAAACTCCTACTTCTTCCTGTCAGGTATGGCATATCGTAGACGGCCTTCGGCTTCCCCACTTACAACGACGTTTGGTCTTAGAACTTCGTGGAATTGGTGAAAGCTACCTGGAGCAATCGAAGTCTACAACTACTGTCTCTCTGGTGGGTTTAAGATGTTCTTAGATGACTTAACCACGCATCGTTTTTTGTAGGTGGGCTTTTCAGCTAGGCGGCACGGCGATGATCGAGAATTACGGCACGAATCTGTTCGATGCTGTCGATCCAACGTCCATCTACAACGGCCATGTCATTGCTGCAACGCAAGGGGCGTCTTGTGTTGCAGCTCTCATCGCTGTTCCAGCTTCTCGCTACACGTCAAAGGCTGGTGGTCTGCTCTACGCCGGAGGATCTGGACTGACATGGCTGCTGTGCGTTGTACTGTCCCGCTCCAAGTCCTTGTGGATCGTGCACGCAGCATACATCTTGTGTGTTGCTCTGAACAAGTTCCTTCTTTGCATCCTCTACGTCCAATGCGCTCGGTTTCTCTCTCACGGCCACTTTATTTTCTTGTTCAGCCTCAATGCTGTGGCAGCTCTGCTTGTCCAATCCTCTCTCCAGGCGTTCGTGGTACGTTTCGATTTGTTTCTGTGCCTGACCAGTTTCCTTTTCTCGTTTCTGCAGGAAGTCCTGAACGCCAACTTGTCCGCTCAGTTCTACTATGTTGGAAACTATTTTCTAGTGCTAACCATTGTCTTTGCTGTGCTTGTGAAGGCATACTATCAATCGAGCAATGCTACATTACTTCGTTAAAGATAGAAAAACTGTTAAGTTGTTTTTTCTCCTGTTTTACTAATCCAATCTTGTCTAGTTCTTCCTGTTCTGTGACAACCAGCCAGCAATCCTCTCTGGTTTGTTTCATCCCCAGGAATGTGTCCTCCAGTTTTCACCGCTTTCTAAGTTTCAGCAGGCCTTTCCCAATTGCAACAAGCTTCTCCAGATTCTCCGGGCCTGCGCAGCCAGACGTCTACAAAACTTGCAAAGAAAAAACAGGCAAAAGAGAGAAGCATGGATCGCAGGAAGTTTTGCTCGATCGAAAGAGCAAGGGTTTAGGTCTTATGGAATTCATATTTACGAATATGCGTCTGTTTGAAAAACTCATCGCCAGCCGTCCATCTCGGAAATGGACGGCCAGCGCGTGTGCATTGCCACGGCGAAGAGAGAAGAAAGAGCAGAGCCACACACTTCTTTGATGTGAGGATGAGCGCTGCTAGGGTTTGCGTTCCAGGTACCGGCGGATGCAGCGGCACTGCCAACATCGCCAGGGGAGGCCGCGGATCAGCGCTGCTGCTGGGCGACGCCTCTCTTCGGTTCAGGTGGGAGGCTTGGCGCCAGGATTTGAGGGTAGGCCACGGGCGCTCCATCACAGCTGTGGTAGAATGCGTCGCCTCCGATGCGTCGAGCGTCGAGGTGAAGGATTCCGGAAATGTGGACGTGGAGGAGGCTAAGGAAGATCCGGCAGACGATGCGGAGGCTAAGGATTCGCTCGACAGTGCTGCCGAGAGCGATGAAGAGAAGGATTCGTCCGAGAAAGAAGGGAAGGGGTCTTCTACTTACTGGCAGAACTTTCAAGCCATTCGTGCTCGGGTAAGGATTTTCTATGGTTCTACGCTCATTCTTTTTGACTGATCGATTGTGTTGCAGAGGCTGCAAGACTGGAAAAGAGCTGAGAGCTTCCAAAAGAAAGGAGGGATTTTCCAAGCTAAGATAGAGTCCTTCAATCAAGGTGGCGTGGTGCTTCGTTTCTACAGTTTACGTGGTTTCTTGCCTTACTCTCAGCTGAGTTTAGCTCGGCTACCCCGAGGTAAGAGAAGAAGAGCTTCCTTCGTTTTCACTTGGATTTTCCTTGCAGACACGTCCAAGACTGTTATGGATGTGGGGAAAGAACTTATCGGAAAGTCTGTCCCTGTCTTGGTAAGTCCTTTCGTTTCTGATGCTCGTGACAACTTAAAGCAATTCGCAGGTCATTGAAGCTGACAGAAAAAAGAGAAAGTTGGTGTTTTCCGAGAGGAAAGCTCTCTGGTCGCAGTTTGGCTCGAAGATTCAGATAGGAAACGTACTGGATGGCCAAGTTACCGGCATAGTTGATTATGGAGCCTTTGTGGACATTCGCTACGCAGATGGTTTGTTCTCTCGCGTTTCCTTTGGATGTTTGTTCTTACGGTTGGAGGGACAGGAACATACCCTGCGGTGGGCTTGGTTCATGTGAAGGAAATCTCCTGGGATACTGTAACTAATCCGCGAGACGTACTATCAGTCGGCCAAGACGTGAAAGTAAAAGTGACCGGGATTGACGAGTAAGTCAAATCGGATCATTTCTCTCAAGCTCGTTTTCCTTTTTATTTCCAGAGAAAGCATGAGGTTAGCGTTGTCTATAAGGCAACTGGAACCTGACCCACTCATGGAGACTCTGGATACATTGATGCCAAAGGTAGTGACTTTCAGCACACAGTTTTCCAATTCCTGCAACACTCTAAGCACAGGATTCTTCAACGGAACCTGGCTCAAGCGACTCAGACGAGCAGCTGTTAAACTCACCTCTACCTGGGATTGACAAGATCTGTGAGGAGCTGGAGAAGGAAAGCGGGTATGTATGCATTTGAAGTTCTCTCTTCTCACGACCAATATGATCACACGAACAGAGTAACTGCAGTGACTCTGGGTAGGCAAAAGCTCGAGAAGCACGTCGTGTCGCAAGATTTGGAACTCTGGCTTTCACAGGTAGGAGTATCGCTTAAGTAGCTCGAATCTAAACATCGCAAATTCCATAGGGTCCGGTTGAAGACGGGCATATCACCCTCTTAGCACGCGCAGGCCGACAGGTTAAACCACACGGAAATCCAAAAGATCTAGCTGACATTCTCATTGCAGGTTCAAGAAGTTCACGTAACAACATCACTGGGAAGAGATGAAATGAAAGTTGCCGTGAAACGAGTCACGCAAAAGATCCCGTGAGTTGTACAAAACGCTTGTACATGAAGCTTTCCGGTTTGAGCTCATCAGGTACTCCCATCCTCCTCAGGCACGGTATGGTTGCTCGTTATTCTTGTAGCATTCGCGATCGCTTCCTTTCTTCCTTTGCCAGCAGGAAATACAACACACCGTGTTGGAATCCTCTTCTTGCCAACACTTCTGAGAATCCGCAACCTCATCAGCCTCATTCTGATCCCAGCCATAGCCAAGCACCTTGTGATCTCCCTCCGGTTGATCTTCCTGGGAAAAACCACGTATCTCTTTTCGCCAACTCCTGGAGCGTGCCTCAAGTCGACCTCAATCCCGTGCCTCACGTAGCAATTCTCGACGACCACCCTCTTCAAACGCCTGTAGCCTTCCGAGTCCATCTTCCCTTCTAGCTCGAGTTGTTCCTCAACGAGCCTCGAGAACAAAAACCCCGGCTTGAGCCTGACGTGGTTTGGAGCCTCGTCCGAGAAGCCAACCTTGAAGGCCCTGTGCCGGAAGAAGAGCCTGCTTATGGCACAGACTGTGAACTCTCGCCGCCTTGGCATTCGGCCCATCTCCTCCAGGACGGACACCACTGCCCAAGTTTTCATCCGGCGACAGTCTGGGACTAAGCGGTTCCTGTGCTTTGCCTTTGGCATCTGTCCCTTCCCTGTCAAGTCGAGGTAGAGATCCTTGAAAGCCCACTCGAGAGCGAGCGGCTTTTCTTCCGGTGGCGGATCTCTTGTGTAGAAGAGGAGAGCTTGCTTCTTTGGATCGTGCTTGAATGCCAGCGTAAACTTTTGCCGAGCGAAGACCATCAGCTGTGGAAGGGCCTTCGCCCTCGAGTGGAGAAATCCCATACCAGCTATAAAACCTCGCAAAACGAATGGACAAAAGGTGGCAGTAGTGTTTTACCGATTTAATTTACATCCAGCTTTGGTGGGAAGAGCTTCCCTCGGTGATTGAAGATCATGAAGTCAAGGTTTTCCGGAAGCTGCAAGATCCTGCCCAAGAACAAACGTGAGAGGAGAAAAAAAAAACACGAGAAAAGATGGAGACAAACCTGTCGTGTTTCGAGTCTGGAAGAATCTCCAGGAATGTGCCAGGAACCGAGAGCGCTGCCCAGAGGCACAGCGCCGAGCTCACCAAAACTTCGACCAAAATCTGCGAAGGCAGGCGCTTGTGATCACCAAATCGAGGAAAGACAGGAACAAAGCAAAGCACCTGGACTGAAACGCGAGAAAATTCTTCCTCCTTGATCTTGAGAGCCGCGCGATCTGCAAGTGGATGCGAGATGAAATCTGGAAGATCCAGAGAGGCGCCGCTTACACTGGATCGTGGAATGCGCCGCATGCGCGAGGAGAAGCACGCCGAGAACGCCGATCGCGAGATCTATCTTCTTGGCGATCCCCATACCCTACAAGAACCCTAAAAGGCTATTCGTGGAATATACCGTTTGGGAGGTTTTGTCTAGGGTTTATGGCGATGGAGCCTGCCGCCGACGAGCTAGAGCAGCGGTCGATCGAAGGTAAAGATCCCAAGAAAGGGGCGCCAGTGGAGGAGGATCAGAAGCATTTTCTGGAGATCGAGAATGTGAAGCCGGTGGTAATCGATGAGAATTCGAATCCGATGGTAGTCGATGGGAATCCGAAGCCGGTGGTAATCGAGCAAGACCAGCCGCCGCAAGATGGTAGCGCCGAGGGTGTGGAATCCTCCAGGCTCACGAGCGTTGACGATGATCGAGAGGAAGGCGAGGTGGAGGAAGATTTGGCCGAGAAAATCAGAGTAAGTGCTCCTTGTGTCCAGAAAGAAGAGAATGAGAAAGAGGAAGAAGAAGAGGAGGATGAAGGGGATGATCTGGGAGAGACCATGGAGGACAGTGAGCCTCTTTACAGCGACCATGGAAAAGAGGAGTCTTCCTCTAGTGACGACGACAATGAGGACTGGACGGCTTCTTTCGAGCAAAACTTTGGAAGCGAAAGCAAAAAAACTCAGAAGGATAGCAGTGATGATGAAGATGACAAGCCTCCGAGAACCAAGAACGAGATTTCGGTATGACAATGTGGATTCTACCTCCTCCTTTTCATTCTTTCTTTCATTCTTCTTCTTGCAGAGCTTACCTCCGGTACCAAAAGTAGATGTCCAGCTCCAGCCTTGTCACACTTTAGTTCCAATCGGTACTGTCTCTTCGGTAAACTGCGGCATACTAGGCTTTTCTTTTCTATCTGTAGCTTAAACTCGATGTTCAGATAGTGGAAGCGATGATCATCGTAGAAGGTGATGAAAATCATCAGGCACTCGATGAAGGCTCCATTCTCTGGCTGACGGATAGCCGAGCTCCCCTTGGTTTTATTGATGAAGTCTTTGGCCCCGTGAAGAAGCCCTTCTATGTGGTACGATTCAACGACGTTACAGAGGTTCCCAAAGAAGCACGAGAATCGGCGCGAGTGGCCTTCGTTCCCGATTTCGCGAGAACAGTCTTGAAGAACGAGAACCTGTTCAAGAAAGGTTACGACGCGTCTGGGGTGGACGACGAAGAGCTTTCGGACGACGAAGTGGAGTTCTCTGACGATGAGAAAGAAGCAGAGTTTAAGCGCGAGAGAGCTAAAGCAAAGAGGAAAACAAGGGAGGACTCAAGCTGCCAAGCTTTCAAGGAGAAAAAGCCACCTCGGGCTCGTAATTCCAGCAAGTTTGGCAATGGAGGACCACACAAGGTATCCGCTTCGACATCCAGGCTCTAGCTTACTTTTTCTTACGTGCAGGGATTCCAATCGCCTCGTGATAGGAAAATGAGAAGTCCCGGCGATGAGCAGGTAATCTAAATACTCAGATTCCATGACAGGAAAACTAACTGTGGTTTGCAGCGGCTCATACATGAAGCACAGATGAAACGATTCAACGATAAGCGGGTACACAAACATTTCTCGCCTTTTTTTTTCCTTCTGTAAGAAAACTGCTAACGTTTTGTGCCAATCAGCAGGATGAAGATATAAGTTTCCAGCAGCTGGCACTCAATCAGAATCGCAGCCACCAGTACGAAGCTGGACAAATTCCTGGCGCACGTATGAACAATCCCGTGCTGCTCGCTGATAACCGGGTAACTCACAAATTCTTTCCTTTCCAACTTCTATGTACACTCAAACTTCTTCCTTCTAGCAGAACCAGAGCTACCAGTCTGAAAGACAGCAGCAAATCCAAAACTACGAGCACCAAAGTGGATTACTTCCGCCTCAAGTGATGGTGGGATACCATCCTTCGGTCGCCCCGCCATCATACTGGCCAGGACAACCATACCAGATGCTACCCACGCCTTATCAACACCCCGGCGTTAGCTTGCAGCAGTACGAAGCCGCGGTACCACCACCACCACTACCACAACAACAACAGGCTCCAGGTTTCTATCCCACCGGGGGCCAGTGCTTTGGAGGATATCCAAGCCAGCACGTCGGCTATATGCCGGGGCCGGTTTGCTTTCCGGGGTTTGGATGGATGCCAAATGCCTCGCAAGTGATACCACCAGTCCCGGCAGCTCAGTTTCCACCATTGCAAGGAACAGAGTTCCTGGAAGATTTCATCCAGGAGGAGCACTCGAGCTAGAATTCCATCGACTGTTTTTTTCTTCCTTCTGGTAAGAGCACCTTGTAGATAATTTATCATTGTATCATAGTTGTACAGTTTTAGATGGCGGCGGCCGAGAGCTCCGGGAGTTGGACGTCTTGGATGCCGGAGGTGGCGGTGGCTTTGACGACGATGGGACTTCTCACTTGGTGCTTGCCGTCGCTCCAGCTAAAGTCCCCGAAAACGTATGCGCCTTTGGAGGATCTCTCGGCGGTGAACGTCAGAGTGAAAGACTTCTTCTCGCCGGTGCTGGAGAACTTGAGAATGGAAGGCGTGATTGACACTGAAACTCCAGGGGGAGGATTGATGGCTACTTTGTATTCCGCTTGGCCGTCACCACCGACGTTTGTCACGGTTCTGGTTACGGTGGTACTCCCTTTCAAGTTGGACAGTGTCACCGATGGATAGTTAAAGTCGCTCAAGCTGAGCTTGGCGTCGGGGCAGTGGACTTCGTAGCCGGTGAGGGTTTCCATGGCGACGCTGCTGTATCCGAGGCCGCACAGGAAGAAGATGTAGTCCTCGATGGCTGCGTCGTAGACGAGTCCCGGGTCTGCCGCGGCATTGACATTTACATGGCCCGCGCCGTAGTTGAAGGGCCCTGCGACTTTGTTGCTACCATCCAGGATCTTGTTCCCGGTGTTGTCGTAAGTTATAGCTGGAAGAAGCACAGATCATCGACCGAGACAACGGAGGACAAGGGACGAACCTGTTGTCATGATGGCCGACTTGATGGCCGCTGGGCTCCAATCCGGATGCAAGGCCTTGAGAAGCGCTACGATGCCCGCTAAGTGAGGACAGGACATCGATGTTCCGGATTCGACGTTGAACTCTACGAGCCGGCCGTCTCCCGCAGGTGCTGTAGCTCGAGTGAAGGCTGCGAGTATGTTCATTCCGGGACCTGTTATGTCAGGCTGGAAGAAAAAAGATTGTATAAGCATCCCAGACTTGAAAGCAGGCGACTGTTACCTTCAGGATGTCTGGAGTGAGAGTGTTGGGACCTTGTGATGAGAAAGAAGCCATCTTGGGGGATGGCTCCACTCCGAGTAAGGTTTTTGCGGGTGTGATATATCCAACAGATGATCTGGTGAAAGAAATATGTCAGCAAAAAAATAGATGAAATGGAGCATACGTACTTTGTGTTCTTCAAGTAGGCGTATATTTCTTTACCACTTTGGGCATCAACATTTGTCGCAGGCAGGACGTGTGGATCTGCAATGAGCTCTCCGCCATCTGCGTCGGAATTGGCTAGAACCAAGCCAGCTCCACCAGCTTGCTTCACCGCGGTGCCTTTGGAAAGACGAGTTGTCACACCCCGCAGGCAAACCACTATTTTGCCTTCAGTTTTCTTTGGATCCAGGGATCCAACAGTGCACAACAGACTACAGAAAACATTTCGTTGATGTGTGAGAACAGAAAAGGTGAATGAAAAATACTTACCTGCCTATCGAGGATCTGTAGCCAACGTCAGATGAAGCCACGATCGGGTATAGCCGATCTTCCAGTTTAAATTCGGACAAGCTACTCCCCTTCAACAAAAAGTGGACAGTTGTCGAAACGAAAGGATACTACCCATACTTACCAAGTATGTCTTGTTGTTGCCGAGAATAACTGATGCACTGAAACTCCGGTCGATGCTGCTAGCTGCGACCGTCAGAATCCAGGGAGGAAGGTTCACAACACTGCCAACTTTCGGACCATCATTTCCAGCGGAGCAAACAACAGTTATCCCTTTCTGAATAGCGTGAAACGCTCCCAAGGCAATTCCGTCCTGGAAAAAGTCCGGCAGTGGAACCTTGCCTCCAATCGACAGTGTGAGGATGTCCACTCCGTCTGCAATTGCGTCGTCCATGGCAGCGAGAATGTCCGCCTCCCAGCAGCCTCCCGGCCAGCAGACTTTGTAGACCGCTAGCCTGGCTTTGGGCGCACCTCCTTTGGCCGTCCCATTTGCAAAACCGAGGATGTTTGCTCCCTCTACGAAACGTCCACTGGCAGTCGAGGAGGTGTGTGTTCCATGGCCATCTTTGTCTCTTGGAGAGCGAAAGTCGCCAGTGGCTGTTGTGTTGAGTGGGCCTTTGCTGAGCTCGTACGCTTTAATGTAGAAGCGAGCACCAATAAGCTTCCTATACCAGTCACCAATACATACATAAGTTTGACGAGTACACACATAGCTTACTTGTTACAATCGCTAGGATTGAAGGAGTTTGTATTCACACAGGTGCCTTTCCAGGTATTTGGAACAGGATCAAACGAACTGTCATCAAAACTGGCACTTTCAGGCCAAACTCCTATCAAAGCAAATGTGTGAGAAGAGTCTGATTAAGAAATTCCTTTCTTGCTGTTACCGGTATCGAGGGACCCGATGGTAACGCCGCTCCCAAAGTTGGCTTTTCTCCACAGTGAGTTTTCCGGAATCTCACCGTTTGCGTCCTCGAGGCCCAGGAACTTCCACGAATGCGTCGTGTGTAGTTGGTTCCTTTTGTCAGGAAAGACGGAGAGCACGCCAGGCATCTCTGCAAGACAATCGCGTCAGCCTCTGTAATCAGCCCCGTCTACTTGCTTTTGAGCGCGGCAACGTGCGTGGCATTGAGCCTTGCAGAGAATCCATTGAAGCTGCGAGTGTAGCTGTATAGAATGGATTCCCTGGCGGCCTCCTCACTGTTCCAGCCATTATAGTTTGAAAATAAGAACCAAAGCCAACGAGATACCTGTGAAGAACGGATGCAAGCATGCGATGGTGCGAGTGAGCCAGCTTATGGCGGCGCGGCGACTCTGGCTTGCTCCCCATGTAAACTATGTAGCCGGAAGAAGCCTGCAACAGCGCAATGCGATCGATTTCATTCACTGCTCCATCTCATTACCTGATCATTCGATGAATCCGCGCAAGGAAAATCCGCCGCGAATGCGAGCAGCAGCGCCAGGGCCAGCGCCGCGCCATGGAAGACGAAGAGCGCCATAGATCTCGAGCTATGGCAAAATACCTCTGTTTAGGGGTTTAGACTTCTCGCTAAATTAAAATTTAAAAACGTCTCGCCCCAGGTTTCGACCCCTGGACGTCACAGTACTTGGCCAGGACAAAGATGGCAATGGAATAGCTAGAAGTGTAGCACGGCTCCCTGGCAGTGGTAAAACGTAAGCAGCAGCGCTCTATACAACTGCCTGGAGTTCTTCAAATCGGTCACGTCCTCTCCGCCTTTGCTGGTGACGAAGAACGCATCGTTTCTAAACAACACGGCGGACGAAGAATTGGAGCCGAGATCCAAGCTTGACAACGACGATGGCGACGAGGCAGCGAACGGGAGAAAGTAGCGCGACACGATCCCGACCTCCTTCCAACCGTGTTCTTTGTCATCGTCAAGCCTCCCCACGTACCCAGCCTGATTGATCACGTATAAGTGATCGCCAGTCGCCACGAACTCGCCCTCGCGGAGATTTCCCTCCAAACTTCTCTCGAGTTTCCACCGCCCGGTGTCGCTGCTGCTGCTGCTGCTGCCACTACTCCTGGGATCGAAAACGAGCACCCTCCTGTTCCTGCCGGCCCGCCCCTTGACGTAAAGTTTGCTCTGGAACACCGCGAAGCTCTCGATGTGGTTGAAGCCAAACGGCATCGATTCCAGCAGCGTCCACTTGTCCAGCTCGCTGTCGTAGGCCTCTGTACTTTGCTCGTTGTCGCAACCACCGGCAACGTACAAGGTCCCCTCGATGAAACCGCACGCAAAGTAGGACCTTGCGATCTTCATCCTGGATCCGGTCGTCCATCTGCTCGTCGCCGCGTCGAAAATGGTCACTTCCGAGTGGTTTTGAAACTCTATCCCATCGTGACTGGCCGACGATCCCCCGAGGACGAACAGGCGGTGACCCTGGCTCGCACAGCCGACTCCCATCAGGTCCAAGTGTTTCTCTGCTTCCATCGGGCCTTTGATCCTGTGGCTGGCGGCCGAGTTGAAATCATAAGCGAGGAGCCGGGCGGACTTGTGCAAGCGGGAGTTCCTTGGTACAACGAGGACCAGCCAGTCGTCCACGAGGAGGTGCCTCTGGCGCAGGAGATAAAACTGCTTGCTGCTCACGAGCTCGTTCCAAGCCTTGGAAACGCATCGGATCCTGAGAAGGGAGAACTTTGGCAGCCGAATCAAGCACTGGAGCGCTATGTCATCTGGGAGACCGGGTATCACCATGCTGTGCAAAAATGAATCATCTGCTGCCTGCCGTGAGATGAGAGGAGTGAATCTTGCTCTTCCTAACTTGCAACTTCGGAAAAGAAGAAATTTGTACCTGTCAGTCTACCTGAATTTGCTCGTCAGTGACTGGTTGGTGCAATTGCGCGTCCAGAGCCAAGGACAGCAACGGGTGGAGCTACGAAGGTCACGTTACTAGGAAGGAGCGTTGACAAACTCACTGGAACAAAAAAGTTTAGCGAAAGAAAGTTCGACGAGAAGAAAAGAGTAAAGAGAGAAAAAAGAAAGCTAAAAGCTCTTTTCAACTGTTTGCCTTCTTGAGCAGAGACTTCCTCCAGGCCCAGTAGTTCCGGCGCATCGAATCTGCCACTTCCAGGCGCTCACAGACTTGTCTCGCAAGTTGCTCTGGCGACAATCCCTCCGAGGGGAAGTCCAGCAGCCTGCAATCGTCAGCTGTGGGCCGATAACCACGGCATAGCAGGTCCAGGAGAAAGTTGAGCGCGTGGACAGAGATCTTGTCCTTGGCAAGCTCTTCGATGCAGACACGGATGACCTCCGGACTTCTCACAAGAGCGCTCTTGTCGTCCTTAAACAAGCCCCCCAAGTATCTCCATGCACTTTCATTGTCCGGGGCGAACCTGATCGCGTCGCAGCAAAACTTGAGCTCGGAATCTTTGGCAGCAACGAGACCACCTATCGCAGGACTGTTGGTGATCACAAAGAAGCGCTGTAGGGAGCACAAGGGAAACACCATAAGGGACAAGCATTGTTGTCTAGGATATATACCTGGTTCCACACAGAGTTGTTGTACACATCTTCCTGAAGCATCTGGACGAGAAACTCGAGCTCTTTCTCCCAACCTCCAAGTTTTTCCAGAACCCACTGCACATTCATACCATAAATGAATGAGAACGACTGAATCAGTATAGTACTTCTTTACCTGTCTGTGTGACCAGGCGTGATAATTCTTGCCATCTTCGCTGAGAATATTGGCCGTGAATTCCAACTCAGCGTTCATACAAGCCGGTCCGCGCTTTTCAGCTAGCCATCGCCGGTGATGCCTGCGTGATAAAAGAAGAGAAAAGGTTCGGTTAGTGCTTTTAGACGAACCAAACACATACCAGATTTGATAGTTTTTAGCATTGTCCTCTGCCATATTCTCGATGAAGTCCATTTCTTTATCCAAATCTCCTTCGATAGATTCAAGAACTAGCCTCCGAAAATGCCAAACCTGGAGAAGAAAGATCAGATCCAAGAAAATACAAGAAGGGCCTTACCGTGTAGTTCCCAGGATTCAAGGCAATGACTTCTCCAGTGAGATTCAGTGCTCGTGCCGAGCGCTCGTCTCTGGCAACCACAGCTCGAAAGTAATCCATGACTTCCCGGAACTGGCTTGTGTAAGCGATTGGCACAACAGGATTTGGACCATCGTCCTGAGGAATAGGCTCTACATCCTTCCACTCTTCACGCTCCCTGAGCGGGATCCACACTTCCTCGTCGTCGTCACTACTCATTTGGAGCTGGAATCCATCCACCACCAACACCCAAGTCAGGCACACCCAAGCTCTCCCTCAGGAAAACTTACGTGAGTTTTACGTAGTTTTCACGAAATGTGCTTGGGCTGTGAGCGTGGCGCGGCGAATTTCCAAGCATCCGCGTCCAGGAGCTTCTCCTCCTTGCGAAGAGACTGGAGAAGATCCTCGAGAAGCGCTGAGTCCACACAGTGCGATGCTCTCAACGCGATATTTCCAGAAATCCAAAGACAACCCCACCTCTCTCGGTCTCGGCCTTGCGATCCTCCTTGAGCGTCAGCTCCTCGGCAAATCGCTCGAACAGAGAATCCTCCACCACTGCCGCCGCGGAGGAAGACGAAGCTCGCGCAGGCGATCCGGTCACGCCGCTCTGCATCGCTCCATCCAAAAACCCTAGCCCTCCCTCTATTTGAAATATCAAAGCAATGAATGGTACGCAACCTCGCCAAGAACACGCACACCACGGCGGCCTTGGATCCACCAGAGATCGCTTCCTACGCATCCACTCTCCGGCAATGCAATCGCTCGCGAAATCTGGCCCTGGGAAGGACAATCCACAAGAAACTCCGAGAGCTCGGGCTGGATCGGGTCACGAATCTCAGCAATCTCCTCATCCAGATGTATGGGAGCTGCCACTGCGTCGCGGAGGCGTCCCGGGTCTTCGCCACGATCAAGGAGCCCAACGATTTCTCCTGGAACGTGATGCTCACAGCGTATGCCCGAAATGGGCATCTTGCGGAGGCGCGGCGGTGCTTCGATCGAATGCCGCGCGCGTGGAGAGGAGTCTTCACCTTCAACACCCTCATGCTGGCCTACGCGCGGAAGGGAGACCTCCGCGAGGCGAGAGATCTCTTCGATCGCATGCTCTCTCGCAACACATTCTCGTGGAACGCGATGATCTCCTCCTACGCACGCGGCGGCAATCCTCGCGAGGCGCTGGAGCTCTGGAGAGCGATGGACATCGACCCCAATAGCATCACGCTCGCCAGTGCGCTCCACGCTTGCTGCGAGCTCGCCGATCTGGACGAGGGCAGGAAGATCCACGCGAGGATCAAACACTCGGGGCTGGAGTCCAACATCATCCTGGCCACCGCGCTCGTCAATCTCTACGGGCGATGCGGCCGCGTGATGGACGCCCAGGAGATCTTCCACTCCATGGCCGATTCACAGGACGTGGTCCTGTGGACCGCGATGCAAATGGCGCTGGCGCGCAACGGCCGATTGATCCAGGCCAGCGCCCTCTTCGATCGGATGCCGCGCCGGGACGTGGTCTCCTGGACGAACATGCTGGTGGCGCACGCCAGCGATGGCGATCTGGGCCGCGCGGCTCGTATCTTCGGGGCGATGCCCGAGAGGAGCTCCGTGACCTGGACTGCGATGATCACGGCCTACGCCCAGAACGGCCGCCCGCGCGCCGCGATCCACCTCTTCCTCGCCATGGATTGCGAGGGCTTCCCGGCCAACAGCGTCACATTCGTCACGATCTTCGACGCTTGCTCCAGCGTCGCGGACATCGCTCTAGGCCGGAGGCTCCACGCGGAGCTCCTGGATCTGGGCGCCGGGCAGCCGCCCCAGATCGATGTCTCGCTCGGCACCGCGATCGTCAACATGTATGGCAAGTGCGGCAGTCTCTCGGAAGCGCGATCGTTCTTCGATTCCATGCCGGATCGCAATGCCTGGTCCTGGAACTCCATGCTCGCAGCGTATGCTCAGAGAGGGCAAACGCTAGCTGCCTTGGATCTCTTCAAGCTTCTCAATCTCCACGGCCAAGATCCCGACGAGGTCTCCTTCCTCGCGCTCTTCTCTGCGTGTAGCCACGCGGGGCTCCTCCGCGATGGCCACTGCTACTTCGTGTCGATCACGCACGACTATGGGCAGCGCCTGACGATCGATCACTACGTCTGCATGATCGATCTCCTGTGCCGCGCTGGGCGGCTCGCTCACGCGGAAGAGCTCCTCCACGCCATGCCCTTCTCGCCCAGCTCCACCGCCTGGACGGCGCTGCTCAATGGGTGTGAGATGCATCGCGATGTGGAGCGAGCGCGGGGGATTCCTGGGCGAGCGCTGGGTGACGATCACGGCCCCTATGTCTTGCTCTCCAATACGATGCTCGTGTCATAGATCATCGCTAGAGGCACAGATCTTCGCGAGCGAGATGTAAGGTGAGGAGCTACCGGGGGTCATCTCGGAGATCAAGCTCGCAGCTCTCCAAGCTCCCTCGGTTTTCATCCCACCAAGCGAGCAAGCTCCAAGCAGCGCTCCCCAGGTGGGATGATCCGGGTGGTATGGCATGCTATCGATAAGCTCCTCGGCCGCCACCAATCGCCCAGATCGAGCCAGGAGATTGACAAGCCACGCGTAGTGCTCCGCCTTTGCTGCGATCCCAAAGTCCACAGCCATGGACGTCCAGAGCTCACATCCCCGCTCGAGCAGCCCCTCGTAAGCACACGCCGAGAGAACCCCCAGGAACGTCACGTCGTGTGGATCGACTCCTTGGTGGATCATGTCCACGAAGAGCTGGAGGGCGCGCTCCCGATTACCGCTCTGGACGTCGGCGGTGATCATCGCGGTCCACGACACCGAGTCGCGCTCCTCCATGGCATCAAAGTGCCTCTTTGCGTTCTCGAAGCTGCCACACTTGGCATACATTGAGATGAAGGAGTTTCCAAGCTCGACGCTCCCCCGGCTTCCTCCAATCTCCTCGTCGATGAGAATTCCGGGAGTGAGCGCCGAGGCCTGCGAGCACGCATCGATCAGGCACAGGAAAGTTATCCCGTTAGGACGAACTCCCTCGATGGTCATGAGCTTGAACAGCTCCAGCGCCTCGATCGCTCGCTCGCTCCGCGTGTAGCAAGTGAGCATCGCGTTCCACGACACCAGGTCGCGCTCCGGCATGCCGTCGAAGATCCTCCTCGTCTCCTCGAAGTGCGCCATCTGCGAACACGCCAGAAACATGCTCGTCCATGACCGGATGTTCCACTGTGCCATTTTTTCAAACACCAGCCTCGCGCTCTCCAGATCGTTTCCCTGGCCGTAAGCAGCGATCAGCGCGTTCCAGGATCCGGCGTCTCGGTCCATCGCGAGGAAGATCTTCCTGGCTTGATCGATGTCTCCGGCTTCGGCATACCCGAACAGCATGCTCGTCCAAGTGATGGAGTTCGGACAAGGGACGCTCTGGAACAGCCTCCTGGCCTCCTCGAGCATTCCAGTGCGCGTGTAGGCGGGAAAGATCGAGTTCCACGACACCGAGTCTCGGGCTGGAATGCGATCGAAGAGTGCCCGCGCTGCTCGAGCATCCCCAGCCTGGGCATTTGCCGTGATTAGAGCATTCCATGACACAATGTTTCTCTCGGGCATTTTGTCGAATAGAAACTTTGCTTCCTGGAGCTGGCCAGTTCGGGAGAGCCCGGAAAGCAAAGCCGTCCACGAGACTACGTTGACGACAGGCATTCTTGAAAAGAAGCTGCTCGCTTCAAGACAATCCCCGGACTGGGCATATGCAGAGACCATAGAGTTCCAAGACGCAACATCGCGCTGGGCCATTTTATCAAACATTTCTCTTGACTCGGCAATGTTTCCAGAATCCGCTAACGCAACCATGACCGCATTGCAAGAAACCGCGCTGTGCTCTGGCATTTTCCAGAACCATTTCCCGGCCTCGTTAAGATACCCGTTTTGGGCAAGAAGTGCCACCATGATTGTCCACGAGAAAACGTTTCTCCAGCACAACCTCTCAAACGCTGCTCTGGCTTCGTCCAGGCTTCCCAGCCGCCCAAACATTTGGATGATGTGGTTGCCCAGAAACTTTTGGCTGTCCAGGCCCTTCCTTGCGAGCTCCCAGTGCAATTGCCTTCCATCTGATAGATGGTTACAAGCTTTCAACTTCAAAGCATAATCAGCCTCCACAAGCCTCATAAAATGCTTAGGTCCAAATTAGCTTCGTTTATATGCATTTTGCAACAATTAAAACTAAACAATTAATTTTCATTTTAGGTGGGAAAAGCTTTGCCCTTAATCACGGGTGTGATCAAGCTTTGACTTCCAAGGAATTCATATTTGTCATAGGTTTCCAAAACTTAGAATTGAATCACTTGGAGCCAATAAGTACATAAGATACACCATCAACTAACACCATCTGTGGAAAATAAGAGTCATAGAATGCATCACTCTACTCCAATCTGGTTATTGGGAAGTGAACATCAACTGGGTATAAAGCATACATACTATATGACAATGGCATTGTATGGAGCAGAGTACTAAGCCAAGACTTGTAGGATAAATTAGAGGCTCTCAACAAATCCTTTCCTTTAACATAGTTTGGCCTACCTAATTCTTGTTCTTGACACTGGGCTTCTTCCACTGGAGATCCTCACGTGGAGATGCTACCTTCTATATGTTCATCGCAAGTACTTCTTGCACCATTAGGGGATGCTGTCATGTAGGAATCATAAGAGATGGCAAACTTAGTGGTGTTGTTGTAGTTCCATGAGGAATTCATTGGCTTTGACTTGGATCTCCCCAGGAACTGGGACCGTGACATCTAATAGGGTGGACAATGCGTTGAATCGGTTGGAGGCTGCCATGTTGACTTCAATGTGTAGTTCCTCCACAAGCATCCAGCCCAAGTACAACACCTTTGATTCCTTCATTTTTGGAAGCTGCAGTAGTGGGGCAGACATGTAGTCTGTTGGTGGTGGACTGTTCCATCCTGGGGAGAGCTCGACTACCAGGATGGTCGGAGGAGCTGGAATGGAGCTGGTGCCGATGGAGAGGCATGGCACTAGCAAAGTGAGCCACAGGGATCCTTTTGGGGTTTCTGAACCGTGAGGCATGGCATCAGTGCTTTGTTTTCCCAGCAAAGCCTGAATGACTTGGTCCCTTTGCTACATGGTCAGGATGAGGTCGTTGCCCATTGGAGAGGGGGCATGTGAATTGGGAGCTTGTCCTTGTGTCTCATTAGCACCTTTGTCCATATAGGTGCCAAGTCCTTCAAGTGCTGGGGGGAGGGGTGGTGCCTTGACCATTGGTGGTGTTGCTGTGGATCTTGTGGCTAAGACTTTTCAGGATGAAGATGTGTTAGCTCCTCCTTTTGGCATCTTGGGGTTCTTTGTAGCTGGTTTTTTCCTCAAGACTTTGACAATATCTGCTAATGATGTTGGGGAAGACATTGGGTTGCTCATTGTTTGCACCTTGTCTGCTTCCTTCTCCACGTGGGGGACATCAAGCTTTTATGGTTGTAGTGAACCTTATCTCTCTCCCCTTAAGCCAACTGAAAAAGGGGCAATTGTTTGATGAGAAAGCCTTTAGTGGCTATTTTATCCCCATTTATTTCCTAAAGTTCCAAAGACCCACAGTGACAATATATCCAAATTTCATCCCATGACTATATGCGTTACACTCACCCCCCCGTTTAGGGTTTACTAGCACCTCTAACACCTCCATTTCCACACTGAATCTACTAATCCTTCAATTGTATAGACTAGTTATTCCACATGAGGCAACTAATCATCCACCCATACCGCAGTCCCACAGTGGATACCTTTGTCTATGGATACTCCACATAAGAGGAAGGATATACGCATGGATGCTCAATACGTACGATTTCAAATTTAGGGGTAGGAATATACCTTGCTCAAGGGTATATTATATTTTTAAGTAACCACTAATAAATAGAAATTGAACCCATGCCATTTACTCCAATACCACATATAGCGCACTTTATCTCTCTCCCCTTAAGCCAACTGGAAAAAGGGTAATTGCTTGATGAGAGAACCCTTAGTGGCTATTTTATTCCCATTCATCCCTTAAGGTTCTAAGGATCCACGGTGATAGTATATCCAAATCTCATCCCATGATCACATGTGCTACAGTGGTGGTAGAGGATATTGTTTGAGCTTGATGGAAAGCTTCATCCCTGTGTTCTCTATTGCCGAGCATGGGGCAAGTACTGCCTCGGGCTCTTCCACGTCCTCTTGCTGGATCTGGACTGTGTCTGGGTGTGCCATAAGTGGAGCCTGTATGATTATTTCTTCTACTGATTGTTCCTACTCGTCCACAAGGATCCCGCGTTTGTGTGCATGCTTTGTTCTTGGCATGTTCCATTGGCTCCGAGGGGCTGCAAGACGTTCAAGGATAAGTGCCACACCGAGGAGGAGAAGTGAGATTCCTGTGTCAAAAAAATGACTAGGGGCAGTGGTGCAAGGGGGGAACAACACTGTAGTGTTGAGAGCTTTCATTGGGGGACAGGCTGGAGAGCAGGGGAGAGGTGATAGCAGGGAAGTGGTGGAGGCAGTGGAGGAGAGAAGGGGGGAGGGGGGTGATGTAGCCACTGTAGAGCACAGGGAGGGGAGGAGGCAAACCTTTGCGTTGGTGTTGAGTGTTGGGTGCTTCTATTTGCTCTGCTTCATGCTTCTGTGCTGGCGCTGGCGAGGTGAGCCGTGGACTTGTCTTTTTGCAGTGTGGGGTGGAATTTTTATCGTCGGGGATGAGGAGAGAGTGACTAGGTTACGTGGAGCTCCCCCAGGGGTGACATGTGTTGGCACGAGGTGTGTGGCCCACGAATGTGACTGGCAATTGGATTGTGCTGACATCCCTAGTCCTCGACTGTTGTGCTTGGGAATGTCTCGATTTTGTGGAGACATCATTAATGATTGCTAGGTCGAGGGAGGTGCATGATGATTCCCAAGGTACGTGGTACTGTGGGGGCTTAAATTCTCCAGTTGTGAGCGTGATGGTGCCACCACTTAATCTGAACCATCTAGTGGCATGAGGAGTGATCGGGGCCATTGGCGAGATTTTGTTATGATCGCTCCCTTGTGTAAGATCGTAAGCCATAAAGGTGTGGATTTGGGCCGATTGTGAGTTGGGGTTGCAGGACTACGGCATTGACGAGCAGTCTGACAGGCAATCCAACCCATCCAATGTGTGTATGGGGCGCTGATACCGTACTTTTGGCTTGGGTGTGCTCCCCGGCTCTTGCTGAGCATTGGATGTCACAAGCACCAATCCTGGTCGTTTCCGGGACTTAGCCGATTTCTAGATGATTTTTGTTGAAGTAGCATGGAGTTCTCTTCCTAGGATCTCCAATTGCTTCGATTCTTGGCTCGGCAAGAACTAGATTGGCAGTGGGATCCTTGATAAAA